TTCCAGGGACCCAGGGGCAGCCACAGCTTCTCTGAGCAACCTGTGCCAAGGTCTGTTGGTGTTTGGGAACAGGTTGTTTAAACCAAGTTCCGGGACCGAGATGACCCCGAGAGCTCAGTGTGGGAGCCCAGGACGTGTGAGCAAGGAGGAACCAAGGGGCTGCAGACACAGGATCTGTGTCCCTGGCACTGTCACAAGCTGAGCACGTGCACAGGTCTCTGTGCAATAAATACAGTCCTGAACAATCACTGGAATTACAGAATCACAGAATTCAGCTTGGAAAATACTTCTGAGATCCTGGAGTCCTCCCTGTGCCCGATGCCCACCTTGTCACTGAGTGCCACAGCCAGGCCTTCCTGGGACACCTCCAGGGTGGGGACTCCAAACCTCCCTGGGCAGCCCTTCCAGTGCCTGACCAGCCTTTCCATGAGGAAATTCCTCCTGATGTCCCACCTGAGCCTCCCCTGGCACAGCCTGAGGCCGTTCCCTCTCCTGTCCCTTGTTCCCTGGGAGCAGATCCCGACACTCACCTTCCAAGGCCTCCTGGATCAGAGCTTTGCAAGGAACAATCGGAGGCCTCAGCCCAAATTAATGGATAGTTTGAGCTGCAAATCTTTCCTCCCGTGCTGATAAACCACTGGGCTTCCATAGTTAAGTGCTTCAAAGCCAAGGAAAGCAGAAAGTGAGGTTAAAAGTAGAGGGAAACTGCAATATCTTACAGGCACCTTCACTAATTTCCATTCTGGAAACCAGCCATGGAAAAGTTTGCTGCTTGGGAGAGGTAGAGAGAAAGAATTAAATTAAATAAATATTACTATACTATACTATAGAAATTAAACTACTTTATTAATTAAACAATGTAAAGGAAAGATTATACAAATTAAAATATATACTATATAAATTATTACATATATTATATAAAATAATGTATGCTATAGTATATCAATTAAAATATGAAAAATATATAAATTAATATATACTAGACTATATAAATCAAACTATAAATACTATATCAATTAAAATAGATACTATATAAAGTAATATATACAATAATATATAAATTAAAATATATACTATATAAATTAATATATGCTATAGTATATCAATTAAAGTAGGAACGCTATGTAAATTAATATATACTAGACTATATAAAGTAAACTATAAATATTAATTAAAATAGATATTATATAAATTAATATATACTAAACTATATAAAGAAAATATATATACTTTATGTCAATATATACTAAACTATATAAATTAAACTATAAATACCATATAAATTAAAATAAATACTATATAAATTAATATATACTCAACTATATAAATAAAATATATATACTATATGACTTAATATACATTAGACTATATAAATTAATATATACTATACTATATAAATTAAAATATTAATACTATATAATTAATATATACTAGACTATAAAAATTAACTATAAATACTATATCAATTAAAATAGATACTACATAAATTAATATATATTAGACTATAAAAATAAAATATATACTATATAAATTTATATACACCATACTATATAAATTAAAATATGAATACTATATAACTTAATATATACTAGACTACATAAATTATACTATAAATACTATATAAATTAAAATAGATACTCTATAAATTAATATATACTAGACTATAGAAATAAAATATATATACTATATAAATTAAAATATATACTATACAGGTTAATACATACCAGACTATATAAACTAATATATCCTAGACTATATAAATTAATATATAAATCCTATATAAGTTAAAATGCATAAATTTGATGCACAACTCAGTTTAACTGGCAAATCAGATGAACTTTAAACACTCTTTTGGGCCACAGAGCAGGGATTTTTTTTTTTCAGCTTCTCTGTATTTCAGAAGTCATTAATGGGTTTCCAGTACCTGGCTCTGGAGGGTGATGTTGCCCCTTGCCTGAACAGGCACCGAGGCTGCAGGGAGACAGGAATGGGCATGTTTTGGTTGCCACATCCCAGGCACGGACAGAGCTAACAGGGAACGTTATCAGGGATGTTCCCATTCCCTGGTTTTGGGATCCCAGACCTCTCCCGGGGGCCCAGCCCGGTGTGTTGAGGTGCCTGTTGCTCTTTCAAGGAAAGCAGATATTCTTTTTTTTTTTTTTTTTTTTTGGTAATAAAAGGTTCAATTTTCTATTTATAAAATCCTTCGACTCAGTTTTTTAGGAAAACTCTGCTGGAAAATCAACCAAAGTGGAGCTGGTGTGTCCTGGTGCTCTGCTTTCCTGGGCTTTGCCAAAACCACGGTGGGTTGGGACCTCCTGGCCACCCCCAGAGAAGCTCCACGTCACCCCCACCTGCCATCTGTGAGCCCAAACCCACCTGAGCTCCAAATCCCCCTCTGAAAGCCTTCTTGGAAAACCCTCTCCATTCCCAAATCTCACCAAAGCAGGAAGTCTGGAGGGGTGGAGAGATTTCCCGGGAGGTGACCCAAGGCGAACACGACGACATCCCAGCTCCTGTCTGCAAGAACCCAGCACGGCTCAGCATTCCCTCTGAGCCAAGAGCGTCCCACGGGAGCAGGGATGGCCCTGCAGCTCCAGCCCAGCCCTTGGGATGCTGCAGCCACTGCCAGGAGGTGCCCAGGCACACGTGGTGACCCCGGGAACACCAGCAGTGCCCGTGCCAAGCACCCCATCCTTCCCCAGGGAAACCCTGCTCAACCTTCTCCAGCATTTCGGGGGAAGGGAGGAGGGTGAGCTTGAACCTCTAAAGCCCAAACAGATGGCAAATTCCTGGTCCAGGTTTTGTGGCCAGAATCTAAAGGCTCAGGCACATCTGTCACAAACACCATTCCCAGGCTCTCTCCTCCAAGCCTTTGTTTCCTTTCTCATTGCTTTGACACCAACGGATTCCCCCTGGACATTCAGGGATTGTGCTTGCAAATAATACAGCCCCAGCTTTCTCAGGACCTAAAGCCTGGCATTGGGGAGAACAATTGTGTTTGCCTCCAGTTGCTTTGGAAAGACAAAATTTACCCTGGCAGGGCTCTCCTGCTCTGGAGGCGGGAAAAGCCTCGGACACTTATTGGAATTATCCTCTTTTTATTATTATTTTCTCGTGTTTCCTTCTGGCTTCCAAGAAAGCCTGTGTGGACAGATCAGAAGACCCCTCAAGGTGCCTTTCAGCCTGTTTTATAGGAAAAAAACCACCCCACAAACAGGGGCTTTCAGAAGGGATTTTAGGATGAATAAGAGAGGGAAGATGCAGCATGTGAGGAACGAGGGCAGCTGTCCCTGCAAGGCTCCAGCAAAGTCCACTGGGGACAAGGGACAAGGAATCAACTCTTCCACCATCCCCTGTTAAAAGTCAGGATCTATTTTCCCTCTCTAGGTCAGCTTTCCACACAGGCCAGGAATTCCAAAGGCATTCCAGGGCCAGAACAGAAGGAAAGGTCCTTCCAGAGAAGGAAAAGAATTCTCCAGCCCATTAGAGGATGTGCTGCAGATCCTTTGCATCGTATATTTGTACTTTTAAGTCATTATTAATGATTCTTTCTTACTCAAAAGCATCCCTTGGTGTTCCATGTAGGTAGGAAAGAAATTCACCCAAAAAATGTAGTTTTACTCTTGAAAAACACATTTTTCCTTACTTGCTTTTCTTCTCTCTGTATCCTTTGCTGCTGACTGCTGCTCTTTCAAGGAAAGCAGATATTCTTCTTTTTCCTTTTTTTTTTTTTTTTTTTTTTTTTTGGTAATAAAAGGCTCTATTTTCTATTTATAAAATCCTTCAACTCAGTCTTTTTAGGTAAACTTTGCTGGAAAATCAACCAAAGTGGAGCTGACACCTAATTCCAGGCTGCAGAGCATGGCTATGTCTGTGTAATGCCATCGAGGTGGGGCTGCCTGGACCCCCATCTCAGAGCCTTAGGGTGTCCAATGCACACCTTGGGTTGATTTTCCAGGGGAAAAAAAAGGACAGGAATGCCAAAGAATTGCATTTGTATCAGCCAAACTTCCCTTCTCAGGTGGGAATTTCAAGTTATTTTTCCCAGTTGCCTTTCTCTCATCTCCTCCTCTTCACTGGGCAAAACAGGGGGAAAAGCTGCAGATTCCCAACTGGGTTTTCCTATTTCTTTTTCCCCCCGTTTTCCTCTTTTTCATCTACATGATTTTTTTCGAGGAGTGGCAAACTGCTCAGAACACTCACATCCAAAGCTGGATTGCTCTGAAGGAAAAAAAAAAAAAAGCCTCTAAATATTGTCATTGGAAATATCCAGAATATTTCCAGGGCTCTGTGTTTGCAAAGCAACTCCCAAGCATTTGACTGACTAATTCCTGCCTGAGGCATGAGCTGACGGAGAAGATCCTGCAGGATGGGGATGGGACGTGACATCTCACTCCGTCCTCGTGTCACTGTGACCTTGCACAGGCAGGAAGTGGCTTTAAACTGGTCTGAATAAAAGAGATCTCTGGGCTGTGACCCGAATACCCAAAGGTTTAGAATTATTTTATCTCGCGAGCTGTGCAGCCCACGGAGTTTTCTCCGCAGGAGCGATGGGAAAACACCTGCACAACTTGGGGAAAATGGACTTTTTAGGGTGGAGAAGAGCGCCCACATTACCCCTGCAGATCTAAACCCAGGGGAGACTTTCACCACAAAATACATTTGCAAAAATATCCCGTGGACAGGGGAAGAGCACCAAGTGTTTGTGTGCACGTGGCAGGAGATGCAGCAGCATCCAAGCGCAGGGGACGTGAGGGACGTGTGACCCCTGCAGGTCCTTTCCAGCTCAGGATATTCCATGATTCGATGATCTGTCTCCACCTTCCTCAACCCAAAAATCCCTGAAAAAGAGAGAGAAACGGGACTCGGGCAAAGCAAAGGGTCCCGTGGCCACAGGATGGCAGCAGAAACCCAGCGATGCGGCCTCGATTCTCACCCTGCACTGAGGGACGTCCTCTGTCAGAGGCAGTAAATTGAATTATTTTATTGTCTGGAGGAGATTTCTGCAGTTTCCCATCCCGAGCTGGTGTTTCAAGGAGATGGGAAGGAGATAAAGGTGAAGATAAGATAAAGAGAAAGGCGGGTGGTGCCCACACGCCCTGTGTGTGCCCTCCAGGGCAGGGGCAAAGGGCTGGGGGTTAATTGGTGGGAGAACTTTGCTGCTTCATCAGAGACATTGCAGAACCACTGAACATTGATTTAAAAAAAAAAAAAACAAACAAAAAACAAAAAACAAAAAACAAACATAAAAAATATAGATATAAAGGCTGTTAGTCCACCTTCCTCCCTGCTCCCTCCCTCCAGGCCACAGCTCAGCCAACCTTCCCAGCCTTTTCCAGCCCATTGCAGGTGGGTCGTTGCTCTGCTCCCTCTCCCTCCCCTTTATTGACTCTCGGGCCGTGCCGTGCCCACCGGCCTGTGGGTTGGACAGCCCTGAATGCACAGCTGGGCACTGGGAAAGGAAAACCCCCTCCCTCTGCCCTGCCTCCCTCCCTGTGCCACCCTGCAGCTCCCCCCTCGAGGGCAGGGAGCAGCTTTTGGCCACCTCCACGGCTGATCTGCCTTTCTGCCTGGTCTCTCTGTAAGAACATGACCAAGGTTTGCCTTTAAAAGGCAAACATTAGATGATTTTGCAGGTCAGTAAGATTGGTAACCCCAGAACTAGAATTTTTTTGCTTTTTTTTTGTTAATTTTCCGTGTTTTGGAGCCCCTGACCAGCTGTCAGCGTTCAGACAATGAACTAAGACACAAATTGTGCATTCACACATCCCATGACCACAGAATCATGGAATAGTGTGTGGGAAGAGACCTTAAAGCCCATCTCATCCCACCCCTTGCCATGGGCAGGTCCCTTCCAGTAGCCCAGGTTGCTCCAACCTGGCCTTGGACACTTCCAGGGCTGGGGCAGCCACAGCTTCTCTGGGATCCAACCTGTGCCAGGGCCTCCTCACCCTCACAGGGAAAAATTTCTTCCTAATCTCTAATCTGAACCTATTCTCTTTCATTTTAAAGCCATGATCAGTCCCTAGATTTATATCCTGATAGAGACTTGTTTGACTTTTTTATCTAGCTTAATTCCTTGGCAGTATTGCCAAAGGCAAGCCATGTGCTTTTCCTGAAGCCAGATTTGGACTTTTTGGTCCAAGACCTTCTCCAGCCCCTCTGGAGCCTCTGATACTTCACCTGGATACAGAAGGAGACAACACTCGGTGTCCAGCCCTGCTCTTCTCCTGCTCTCAAAGCCACCCACCCCCTCCAAGTCTCCACAGTCACACTCCCAGGATTTGCAGAACTGCCCAGGGAACAGCACAGGAGTGGGAAAAGAGACCAGTGGAAAGCTGCAATTCACATTTTCCCCAGAGAGGCTCCAAGTTTACCTGCAAAGTCCTGGCCATCCCAGTTTTCCATCCAGACCTGCCAATAGTCCCAGCCCAGCTTTTCCTGTGCTACTTCAATGGCTGCAGGTGCAGAGGCTGGAAAGGAGATGACAGCCAGTATTAAATTAGTTATTTGAGCATTTCCACACGCACACCCCAGCAGAGAACTGCTGCTTCCTCTCCTCCTGGAGGAATTGTCCCCCTTTGAACTGGTTTTCCCATTTCCTGGTCAAGTCCTTGATTCACATGGAGCCTCTCATTTTAATAGTTTGCTGCAGGTTTTGTAAAGAGACCAAGGAAGAACAAAGGAGTCTGAAGCAGAACACGGTTTTCCCCAGACCTTCTGAGCAGCACCATGGCCTGGGGACACCACACCTGGGGCTGGGGGGTTCATGGGTGACACCATTACCTCAAACCTTGGGGTCAGGGGCCACAAGTGAGGCTGGAAAAGAGGAATACAGGAGCAAGAGTTGGTGGTTGGTCAGGTAGAGCGGCCAGATGAAAGTCCATTCCCTCCTTCTGACACTCCAAACTATCCTACCCAGGGGGCTGAGGAACCACAGAGCTGGAGGAGTGATGGGGAAAGAACTGGGATGTAACTGGGAGGCAGCAGCTTTGCTGTCACCCTCAGAGAGAAGAAAGGCCTCAATATTTGAGACCTGGGGGGGAAAGAATGAACTCAAAGCTCCACCAGTGAGTCCATTCCAGCCCCCTGCCCATGGCAGGGAAGGTGGTTGGTGGATCCAAACCTGCCCAGACCCCACTGTTGATGTGGAGCAGCATCTCTTGTGTCACAGAGGTCCCCACACCATTGGGAGCTGGTGGGTTTTGCACCTCCCTGTAGAGAAAGTCCATCCATGGTTTCAGGCTGTTTCTGCTCCCCAGGAGCCCATATCTCTCTTTAACCACCATTATCATCAGCAGAAAGACCTCCAGGGGGAAGGATGTAGAGATTCAGCAAACCATGGCCCTGAGGAAGGCAGTCCTGGTGTGATCCCTTTGATTTGGCCCTAAGAAATCCCATCAAAAGCTGCACTAAATTGCTGGCTCATAGGAAAAGTCATTTCATCCAGGCTTTGGGGGAGATCCATCCCCCCTTGGATACAGTATCTAGCCAGCCCACAACTTAATTGTTGTTTTGTAGATGAATGTGATATCTTGCCAATATTTTTGCCAGTGGTGGGTACTTTGAGCTTCTTTTACTTGCAGGATACAAAACCAAGCAACATCATATCACTCCACAGTTACCAAGGTAACTGGAGAGAAAGATAGAAGCGTCTGGGGTTGCACACTTTGTGATCTCCCTTCATTAGCTCATTTCTTTCCATCACTTTGCTTCCTCAGCTCCATTTCTCCCTCTGCCTTCAAACCACAGAAGAACTGTGAACCCACCGAGTCCCTCACGAGGGAGGTGACAGTGCCCAGAGGCAGGAAAACTGTTTGGGAGCTGTTTGCCAGCAGAGCTTCATCCTAGAGGACATTTGTACACCTCAAAATGGGAATGACGGAGGGGGAAAGTGTATGATGAAGAAGGAACTGACAGTGCAGTTGCTTGGTGGCCCAAAATGTTGGGGTTTGCACTCAGAAGACCAGAGGCCAAGCCATGATGTCCATCCTCCTGCCATGCCTGGCATTCTCGGGCTTGTGGCCATGGTCCAGCTGCCAGCTGGGATGAACTCCTCCAGCTCCCACACAGACCTGCCACGGCATTGCAAAGGGGGGAGTGTGCTAATCCCAGTGCCAGAGGGAAATCAGACTGGGAATAGACCTGATAAAGGTGCAGGGAACACAACAGCCTCCCAAATGCAGTGTTCAATAAGCACCCAGGTGATTATAACACAGCACAAATCCAATGCACTCAGGAGCACACAGGGAGGCTCCAGTGCTTCTCACAATTTGGGAACAAGGTTCCTCACTGGAGTTTTTTAATGCACTTGCAGGGCAAAGTGTCAGGACGAGCTGACAAATTTCTAGGAAGGAATCCTTGGCTGTGAGGGTGGGGAGGCCCTCGCCCAGGTTGCCCAGAGAAGCTGCGGCTGCCCCTGGATCCCTGGAAGTGCCCAAGGCCAGGTCGGACGGGGCTTGGAGCAACCTGGGCTAGTGGAGATCCTGCTTTAGTCCCTGTGCACTGCAAGAGAGAGGAGGGTGAGGGAAGGCAGGAACACTGGGACCTGTGCAGCCCTCCAGGCCTCTCCCACGTGCATTTTCTGTCTGCCCTGGCAGTGCTGGCACTGCTCAGCCAGGAGGCTGCTGGGGCACTGTCTGTACCCCGGCACCCCAAGCGCTCTCCTCCTCGGGGCCTCACACTGGTGGACGTGGAAAGCCCCTGTGGTACCTCAGGGCTGTTGCACAAAGCAGTTGTCTGTGGTTTGTGGGTCCCTCAGTCCCCCTGTCACGCTGCTCTTGGTGCCTTTAGTTTCTAACTTCAATCCCCAGGGAGAGAGAGGCCACCCAGCACAGAGCTCCATGAGCAGTGTCCCCAGCCCCTGCTCACACAGCCAGTGCTGAAGGGACAGAGGGAGAGCAGCACTGAGATCCTGCTGGAGAACACAGATTTACTGGGAGGGAGGTCATCGAGGGGTGGGGGGACACTGGAAAAGAGCCCAGAGGAGGATCCTTACCTGGGGACTCCCAGCTGGGACCTGAGGCTGAAGGAAGAACAACTCCAGCCTTTGCCATCTGCCGGAGTTCAAGGATTGGGATCCTGGGGCTTCATTCCTCCTCCTTATCAGCTTCAATCCCACTGCAGCCACCTCTTGGTCAGGGATGTGCTGACTTATGGGGCACCACGAGCTGGGCAGTGACCTCATGGAGACCTTGCTCACGCTGAGTCCTGCTTGGGATGGGCTGCAGGAGGTGCTGAAACAAAGCTCCCCCTGCCTGGCCCCACACCCCCAGCAGACACACACTGAATGCAAAACTGCACCCAGAAAACAGCAGCTACACACAGATCAAGCCCAAACTGTGTCCCATTCTCCTTATTTTACTCTCTCTTCCCAGTCCCAAAGACGTGATCCACTGATAAACCTGGACAACGTGAGGCACAGCTCTCAGGGGGCAGAACCACCCTTGCACACACCTCCCCTTTACACCAGGTGGTTTCCACCTCCAGCCCCTCCTTGTCCCCTGTGTGTGGTGCCAGGGGGTGAATCCCCACCCTGGGGACACCAACCCCCTGCCAGCTTGTTTCCTTTGGGTGTTCCACTTGTTCCAGCCACACACCCCAACCCTGAGCTGCCTCCTCATCCACACAATGCTCTCAGTGCCCAGGAAGGGTGTCCCGGCCAGCAAGGACCACGCCACAAACATGGGAACACATCCCATGGAAAGAAAGGAGGGACAGCACAGGAGGGACAATATCTACAGCCTTCCTGGGGGACCAGCAGGGGCACAGGAGCAACGGGCAGGAACTGATGCCCAGGAAGTTCCACCTGCACAGGAGGAAGAACCTCTTCCCTGTGCAGTGACCCAGCCCTGAACAGACACCAGAGAGGGGGTTCAGTCTCCTCCCCGGGGATATTCCAGATCCCTCTGGACACATCCTGTGCCGTGTGCTCTGGGATGGCCCTGCTGGAGCAGGGAGGTGGCACCAGGTGACCCACTGTGGTCCCTTCCAGCCTCACCCAGCCTGGGCTTCCGTAGATATTTCTGGAGGCAGGGGTTGGGTTTGTCCCAGCAGCATCTCCTGGGGGTGACAGCAGAGCCCTCCCTGATCTCTGGGGGCCTCAGGGTGGCTTTGGTTGCTGCTCTGGGTTGGACACAGCACCAGGAGCATTTCCAGCTCCCTGCCTGCCCCCACCCTGCCACACTGCCGTGTGCCAAAGCCATGCCCAGGGCACAGAGCAGCTCAGCCAGGGCCCATCTGTGCTGCTCCCTCTGGGACACACCCCAGGCACTGCATTTGCTGTGGGGAAGGGGATGGAAAAGCTGGGAATGGGAGAGTTCTGCAGCCTGGCCTTGTTCTGACCAAAACCAGGGGTTGTTGCTGAGCTTCCTGCCTTGTATCCCAGAGCACACCAGCCTGTCCCAGTGCCCACTGGGAAGGAGATGCATCCTGGCCTGCTTTCCAACTTCTTTTTTGTTCCTAATGCTGCTTGTCTCCCGGGCTGTGCATTCCTGCTTCTCTTTCCATCTTCTCCCTTTGAGGAGGAAAACAAGGACAGGTCACTTGGCTTTTTATATGAGCAGCTCTGAGAGAGGGAGAGAGAGCAAAGGGAACCAAACACCCCAAACAAAGTGAGGGAACATTTTTAATTGGAAGTGTTTTGTTTTCTCCCGGATTTTAACTTTAGAGGGAGGCTCACAAATACTCTCTCAGGGTCCACTGTGAGAGGCTTTATTCTGCCACGGGCTCCTTTCATGGTGCAGCACAATAGCTTTTGTTTCAGAAGCACAGGGCAATGAGGACCTTGAATGCCAGAGGTCTGTATTATATCCATAACTGGAGATTTGGATGGTGGAACGGAGGTTGGGGGGAAGGTGAGAATGAAAAATTTCTCCATTGTATAGATGGAGTCCTTCCAGCAAACACTGGCACAATAGGAAGCACATTCTTAAGAGCTGAAGCAGAGTCTGGATAAAGACTCACTCATTTTGTACATAATGGTCCCTGTGCTTTAACCTTGTACAGCTGCTATGACACCTGCTTTTCAAAGCCATTGTGGAAGAACAAGCAGAGCTTTGTCTGCTCTACACATTCTGCACCACACATGTTAACATTTCTCTTTTTGTATTTATTTTGTTTCCCCCACCTTCTCTCTCCCTCTTTTTTTTTTTCTTCTCCTTTTTTTTTATTTTTTTTAAAAACATAACAGTTATGAATGAATGGCTGAAAACTAATTTCAGCCTTGATTCCTGCATCGTGTCCAGTCTGAAAGTCTCCCCATATTGTAATGCAGAAGAAAGGGCAGATATTAGACTGGGAGTGCAGTGTTCCCTTTCTAGCAAACCTTCAGCCTTCTTCCTGTTTCCCCCCCCTATTTCCCTCCCTTTCCATCTCTCTGGTTTGAAAGGATGAGCAGAACCCATCACCCTCATCTCCCCTCCAGCACAAAGAGCTGGAGGACCTTGTGGCACTGGTTCAGTCACCCCTGGGACCCCTTGGGATGTGTCTGGGACGGAGGTGAGAGATCCAGGTCAAGGTTCTCCTGATGAGACGGGAGAGGTTTGGGCACCACAGTCCTCAAGTGGCCTTTTCCTGGACAGGGATCCAACTGAAGGGCAAAGCAAGCCTGGAGCACGTGGGATCTCTGTGATCCTCCTCTCCTGTGCCACCTGCAGTGGGAGGAGGGCAGAGACATCCTGTCCTTCCAGATCACCCTACAGCCCCCCATTCCCAGTGGGAATAGCTGAGCAGGTGCTGCTACAGGGGGCAATGGGAATAGGACAAAGTGCTGCTGGTCTCCCAAGGAGTCAAGGAATGGTGGCTCTGGCCAATGGAGCAGCTGAGATCCAGACCCTGAGGATCACAAATGATGAGGTTATTGATGATGGTCATTCCATGGAAATCCCTGAAGTAGTGAATGACCTTCCAATGTCAAATCCCCCGGGTTATGACCCCTGTGTCATGGAGCAGATCCCCTCTGGGATGACCTGAGCAACCTGCTCTAGTGGGAGGTGTCCCTGCCCATGGCAGGGGATTAGAATGAGATGACCCTGCAGGGCCCTTCCAGCCC